TATATTTCTTAATTTAACTTTTGCAATAATGTTTGCTTTGCTGAGTAATATACGGATACGCTTAGTTTTACTGAATATTTCGTTTTTGTTATAGCTCCGAGGCTAATTCAACCTATGCTTGCCAAAATTTATTTATACAATCTTTCGAATTACTTTTCAAATCGTCCCCATGAATTACCATTTTATACTAAACTATCATGTTTTATTTTAAAAGGGTGGTAAAATTCCTGTCCGCTGGACTGCGCCAGAAGCCATTGCCTTTAGAAAATTTACTTCCGCATCGGATGTTTGGTCATATGGAGTAGTTTTATGGGAGGTCATGTCCTATGGGGAGCGTCCATATTGGAACTGGTCAAATCAGGTATAACCCAAATATCCAATTACTTATTAATTATTAATATTTACTATTATAATAAACCTTGCGTAGGACGTTATAAAAAGTATTGAAAAGGGGTACCGCTTACCAGCCCCGATGGACTGCCCAGAAGCCCTTTACCAGCTAATGCTGGATTGCTGGCAAAAGCAGCGTACTCATCGTCCGACATTTGCCAGCATCGTCTCAACTCTAGACAACTTGGCCAGGCAACCGCAGTCATTATTGACAACTCGAAACTCACCCGAATCGGACGGAACGCATATTTTGGATACCCAGCGTGGTCAAAATATATTCATAAGCACTGACCTTTGGTTGGAGCACATTAAAATGTCAAGATACTGTCAGCATTTCAAAGAGGCTAATTTAATTAATGCTCAACAGGTGGGTTATTTGAGTTCTGGGCTCATTGGTGGATTTACTAATCGGAGTTTGTGTACAGATTTCTAGGCTCACAGCTCAACAATTGTCGGATATGGGAATTACTTTGGTGGGACATCAGAAAAAGATTTTACATCAAGCCCGGCAACTGGACACTATAATCTAACCGTTCCCTTTCAGCTTAGTGGTTTAAGATGTACATATAAATAATATATTATAAATTTAAAATACAATATATATATATAGTTATATATATAAATATTTATAAATCCATAAATGACACGTGTGAGATACAGAAAACACAGGAACACATAACATAGTATAAGGATTTTATAGGTTCTCTTAACGAGAACTTTAGAATATATGATAGAAAAAGTATTGTTTTTACGTCGCTTATAATAATGATTACTTTATTTATGTGTAACAATTATTTAACATACAATTTTTCAAGATAATTATACAATAGCGTCGCTTGGATTGCTTAGCTTTTTTTAAAGTTTTTTGTTGTGATAAAAGTGACATTAAAAATTTTTCATTTTCATTAGACTTTAATCCATGGCTTATTTTGCATAAAATATTAAAACTTAATAAAAGCACACTTGTGCATACGGTATGGGTTTTTGACCTAAAGAATAGAATGAACACCATCGTACCATAGCTAAACTACATTTGTTAAGATGTTTTCATCATCTGAAATGACCGGTAAGTCAGAAATTGCAGAATAAACAGATCATCATATCATATAATGACTTAAAAATATACAGAAAAAAAAAACAAACAACAGAGGAAGCAAACTTTGGCAAGCCGAAGTTCATATACCCTTGTTATAGTTATTTTATTCATTCTTTTTATTTCTGTGGGAGCTATTTGATATAGTCGTCCCATTTTGATGAAATTTAAACCGTCGAAGAACTAAAACAAAAAAATTCAAAAACAGCAAAGTTATAATTTTTTTATTTATGGGAGCTATATGCTATAGTCGTCCGATCCGGCTCGTTCCGACTTATATACTACCTGCAATAGAAAGACAACTTTTGGGAAAGATTCATGCAGGTAGCTTTAAAACTGACTAGTTTGCGTAGAAATGGCTCTCGACTCTCCTAGTGATGCTGATCAAGAATATATACTTTATAGGGTCGGAAATATCTCCTTCACCGCGTTGCAAACTTCTGACTGAAATTATAATACCCTCTGCAAGGGTACACCGAGCATTACGCAGTCTCTATACATATTTATTTAATATCGATACGTTTTTTGTTATAAGAACACCAAGGTGACCAACACGCAAAGTTCTAGTCAACGCACATTCACTTTGCTCCTAGCGCTTTTAAGTTCAAAAGGAAAAATATATGTTACATAATTTTCAATGAATACTCAACGAGTAACGGGTATAGATTCGCGCCTGGTAGGTCTTTCTACTGAGAATGAAGAGCATTGGCGTTACTGCCGATTACCAGACCTATTTTGTGCAACTCGCTGCGCAGTCACCTAACTGGTTCTTTCTGGTTTACTGGAATAGGTGCAAAGGCTTACAAGCATATAATAGGGGTTGGGGTAGAAGATAAAATTCGTTAATGTATTTTAGGCGAGCGGCATCTTACACTATTTTTTTTTAGCCTCCACGTCGTTATAAATTTGGGCAAAATACTGGCCTAAGTATTTTAATAGATTTTGCTTTGACGCTCGCAATTGACTAAGTGAGTTTCGGGCCTGTGATCAGACCGCTTTTTGTGCTATTAAATAATAATAAATAAAATAATCGCCCACAAGTAACTAGATTGGGGATGTTGTATAAGAGTTTCGGCGTTACACTAGCCCCTAAGTTGAAAACAGAAACCGACATCAATCGCTTTGGTTAAATTTTTGTTTTTTCGGAGCGGAGTTCTACTTGAGAAACCGATCAACGATTTGCGATAAGATAGATAAAAGTCCTGTGAACGAAGTATGGTCTTATTTGTACAAATAAAGTTAGAATTAAACGTTTTTAAGAGACTCACACAGGCTCATGGAGCTCATACATAACTCAACAATGATTCAATATATGGAGAAATTAATTTCTAGTAAATCTCTTTGGCTGTTAGACAGGCCGTAGGTAGCAGATGGAGGTGCCCCAGGGCCCCGAACAAAAAGGGACCCGCCTGGGCCCCTTCTTACCGGCCATGTATCTCGTATCTCGTTTCCCCAGGGCCCCTGATGCTCAAGTTTTGGACCCGCTGTTAGACCTAGATGGTGGATAAACGTTCCTTATATGCGACACTTGTTTGAATTTACAGGTCGGCGAGTTAGAGGGGGTTTAGTAGCCTGATTTCATTAGCACATTAAAACGCATTTAGCCTTTTATTTATTTAGCGTTTAAAATAAATGTGATAAATAAATGCGTTTAAAAGCCCCGAACGGAAAATACCAATAGTTAACGATGTTTCGTTATGGCCACCACTACAACAGCTTGTTTTTATGTTCAAGGATGGCGCCATTCTTTATTTCTTTCGAATATAAAATCTATTTGAATAAAAATGACTGAAAACAAGAGCAAGCGCAGCAAATCCTGATCGCAGCACCATAATCCTTTTCTGCTGGTTCTCTGGCAGAAAAAAACCGCCCACTTACACGGGGATTTGTGTTCATTCTTAGCAACTTTGGTAGTCTTCTCAGCAAACCCGTCAAACAACACTACAGTTCTTTCATGTCGTCCAAGTTGGCAAATGCTACGATAGCGTTGTGGATATCCTGCTGAGCATTAAAGAGTTCCGTAAATTCACTCATATATATTTCATTTCATTCTCTTTCCACAGAAATCAAAGGATCATCTACCATCCGTTGAACGGTTTTGCCGTTCCAACAATTTTCCAGTTAACAGGCAGATTTATTCTTAATATTTTTAAATTTAACAAACTTGTGTTCAATCAGAATTAGTTTATAGTGATATTCTTTAAAACGACTATATACAAATTAATGATTTCCGAAAGATAAATTTATCTGCAGGTTTATTTGTGTTGGTTGAGTATTTTTCCAATTAGTTTTTGTATCGTGTTTCGTATTTCCTATGGATACTAATAATGTGGTCCAATTTTTATAAATCTAAAAACCAAATCCCTTTTTTGTAAAAATTACAATATCTCGAATATCCAGTATATCCAGTGTTGGAAAAGGTACTAGTGTTTTGGATCTATGTAAGGTACAAGGTATTTGAGAAAATAAGTACCTAGGTATGGTAAAAGGTACTCAACTTGTAAGGTATCTAGGTAAGGTAAAAGTTACAAAAAAAGAACCAAAAAAGAAACGAATAAATTTTTGTTTAGTTTTGAGGTCAATTTGTCATTCACAAAGTTGTAGATGAATTATGATATTGTGTTTACGCTCTGACAATTAAGTCTGGTTGTAGAATGTGTAAAAAGAAACATATTTTATCTCGCATTTGAGGTGGAATTAATTTGTCTTCAAGTTAAAGATAAATTATGCTATTTTTATTAGCATTTTTGCGAAAATAATACAAAATGTAATTAAGTGATAATGAAGCTAATTTGAAAACAAAAATAAATACAAATATTTTAATACCTATATAAATAAAAAATTATAAATAATAACAAATAAAAATAATTGCCTGGGAAAGGTAAAAAGAAGTCTCACATTTGTTTACCTAGGTAAGGTAGAGGCACAAGTATATAGGTACATCCCAACACTGAGTATATTCGGAGTAACCCGGAATACATGTAAAAGACCAACAACAATACTAATGGTCCAGACTGCTCCTACTTAAATAATTCCTAAAATAAAAGACTTTTTGAAAGTTTCATTTAAAAAGCTATAGAATTGAGACTAGAAGCAGGGGACAAACGGTCGGATCGATCCGCTTTGGGATGCTGATCAAGATCACGATTTCTTAATACACGTTTTCGTTATTTCTACACTACACATTGTTTTTAAATTCAACACGATTTAAGTTCTAGCCGGGGGATAGAAAATATTTAACACTTCCAGTATACACTGTTTTTTAGAATTGCATAGCGTATTATAATTCCAGCCAGCAGTGAAGGCGGCATTTCCGACCCTCAGTTAGTTTTAGTCCGATCAACCAGAAATTTTCCAGCAAAAGCTGGATTGCCGAAGTTTGCTTCCTTTATTGTTGGTTTTGTTTTCAAACTTTTAGAAACTAATATTATAAGAAGTTTACCTATCATATTTATATGCAAAAATAAAACAATTTATTTTTTCCGAAATCTTCGCCAATAAAAATGCATCATGGAGCTATTTTTAGTAAAGTATATATATTATATTTTTTAAGCGCCACAATTACACAAAAATTCTGGGTAAATACAGGTTGTGTGTATAAAAAAACGTTAAGGCTTTGGTAGAATTTTTTTAAGAACAGGCACATTCTACAACCTGCATATCACTCCATGTGGAAATCTTCAGCTTGTCGCTGTGATCTTCGTCTACATGCAATATTTCGAGCATTTCAAGTTTTGAAGGGGCACAGCACGGACGTGGTGCACGGCTATGATCCTCTTGCCAAATAAGACTTTGCAATAGGGCGTGGTGATGGGCCGGATTGTGGCGCGGTGGACATCGTCCATGGCAATAGCCGGCATCGAATACTTTTGGCTGCAGTATAAACTCAAACCCCTTGATGTCCTTGAAGGCAACGTCCAACTGATTTCTGCAGCATCGTTGGTGCATTTTATAGCAGTTGTTGTTCCATTTATCCTTCCGCCAAGTGGTGTCCTGATCCGTACGATGGTGCACGTACTCTTCGCTTCTATTGTTAGCCAGCATAATGTGATGAACGTCCAAGTCGCCTTCTTGGTGGGACTTCAGGGAACCGTGTCCGATTATGTTTAGGACTGGCATGAGGTTGAAGCGTTCGTTGTTTGGAGCTGCCGGTTTTGCAGATGCTGATTGCGACGGACTAGAATCGCTTAGTATGCGAGCTCCTACACTCTTACATCTATCACATTGAATTTCTATGCCCAAGTTTTCATGGCTTTTGTTCAACCACCCCCGAACAGCTTTGGTAACGTCGAATTCTATCCACTGAGTTCGGGTTTCTTCCAAACCAATATTTTCGAACTCGATTTTTCGAGACGCTAGCAACCTTCGTCTGTTCGCTGAAAGCAATTGATATACTTTGAGATTTAACTGCCGACTTCTGACTTTTTTGGACTGATTAGAGTTGACATCACCAGCATTGCAATTATTTACTATATTCACCGCATTATCGCTTCCAGAAGTGTGACTAAATTTTCTTTTTTTAGGTCCTTGCCATCGACGGAAAGTTTTTGCCAGGGATGAGCTGTAGAGAAGCATAAGTCTTACATTGGCTTCGTCAATTTTATCATGGTAGATTTTGGCATCTTTTATGTTTGTCAGTGGAAAGTGCAGAAGAATGTTTGTTTTATCTTGTCCTCCGAACTGTGGGTCTTCGTTATTTCTTTCAGTTTTGGAGTGTCTTGGCCTGCCCACACTTTTAAGTGATCTCTTGTGACGCCATCGTCTGTGGCTAATGTCATTGACTTTGTTCGTGACAATGCTTAAAAAGTTTAGGTCTCCTATTGAAGAAGCTCCCATATAGTTATTAAAGTAGTTCGTGCCCTTTTGCTGGTTACTCCTTAGACGATTTAGGTATTCTATATATTTGTTAGCATATTCATCTTGGCTTATATTGACCTGTAAATAGACAAAATCGTTAAGGCCGATTTTGTATACTTGTACTATTTTCTTACCTTTCTCATGTCTGGTATTTTCTTCATCCCAAGACCCTTCAAAACAAGGCGTTTAAGTCTGGCTTCGTCGACGCGTTTTGGATGTGTCACTTGCTTCGGCTGATTATTGTGATTGCTAGCTTCTAATTGAATATCTCTGGCTTCTCTCTTTTGCCTATTTTGAACCGGTGCAGTGTCTTTCCACTCGAATGCTATTTTTTGATTGGTTGTGTGAGGCATGTGATTAGACTGGCTTATATTATTCAGACTATATTTATTTGAACTGACATTATAAAATGAGTCTCTGCTTTGTTTACTAATATTTTTAAGAAAACTGTTGAGAACCTTCTCCGTACTTGATATTTTGGTTTTAGTTTTGGACTGTAGTTGATTGTTCTTTAGGCTCTCTGCTTCGTTTAAACTTTTGAGCGGCGAAATGCGAGTTTGCACATGCTCAGTTTCTTGTTTATGTGATGGAGGCGATTCGTTTGAGCTTGACGTTTGGCGGAACATTCCATGACCACTGACTTGCTGCTGAGTTGGCAACAATAAGACAAATATTAGCCATATTTGTGAGTACTTTAAGGGCCTAGTATAAAACTTGGTAAGTTTAGATGAAATGTGTTTGGTGCAAGGCAGCCGTTTTGAAATATGTTTTACTTTTTTTACGTCTATTATATTCGCAATAGTGTGGCAAAAGTATGTGTAAAAAATAATTTGTAAAATCCGGACAGACTTTGTTGAATTGGGATTCCCAGCTCTACAACTGTGTTTCGAAAATTCGTAGCACTGTGGAATTTGTTGGTTTTTTGGCGTAAAGTTTGGTTCATTGTCTATTATCATGTTTTCTCCACATGGCCATCAAATTTCGTTTGAAATTGATAGTTACAAGATTCTTGTTCTTTCCATTCATTCGATCTCTACTCTCAAACTATCTAGCCTCTTCTTTTGTGTTTATATGCACGCACAAAACTTTGTTGTAAAATGTTTACGTCCACACTTTGTACTTGTTTGTGCACATGAGTTCGGTGAGCATCCGTTGGCTTTAAGGTTCAGGAATTTGTTTTGTCGATTAATTTAAGGAAACAACACAAAACACTTTCGGGAAAAGTAAATAAACGATCAGAGTTCCCCGAAAAGTTGTACATATTTTCGTCTCGTTCGCACTCTCATCCACATTCCCATGCACAATAACACCGAACCAGTTCGGGCGTTGCTTCGCATTCGACTGAAATACCCCACAGCGAATGCTTACTTAACAGCAGCAATATAAACAACATTCTCACACACCCACACATACTCCCACACACACTGGACACTTGCTCTCACAAACACACGCACATGGCCACGTACAGTGTGACGTGAACACTCAACCATCGAGTTCAGTTCATAACCCGCCCATTCCGACCTGGCCGCTTCCATATGTACATCTTTCACGGGTATGTGTATTTCCGATCAGCATGCGTTCTCAATGACTGCATCTCTGCCTTCCGTTTAGCAATGGCTGAATCACACCGGCACCTGGTACAACTTACTTAAACTTAAGTTTCGCTTCAACATTTATTTCCAGAAGATCAAATGAAAAGCCACTCCACTAAGGGAAGAGAATTATAGCGTGATTCCATTGTCGCATTAGTGGACTTTTTAAATGTGCCTGATGCCATTGGCGCATTAGCATTTAGCTAACGATACTCCGACATGTGAGTGGCACGAACAGCTGATCTGGGCTTGTTTACTTTTGAATTTATGCAAATCCAAAAGAAATTAATTTAAAATAATGAATAAGAGTAAGTTTAACTCGGACGACAAGAAAGGAAAGCTGATGGTGTTGAATTTGCAGCGTGCGCTCTTGTTTTCAGTCATTTTTATACAAAATAGATTTTATGTTCGAAAGAAATCAAAAATTGCGCCAACCTTGCATATAGAAAACAGCTGTTATAGTGATGGCACAAAGAAAATATCGTTAAACATCGGTATTTTTTCTTAAAATAAATACATATAAGACATTTTTTAAAAGTTCAGATAACCTTTTAACAACTAATTCATAGCATTAAAATAAAATAAAGTTGGAAAAAGTACTTCTAAAAGAGTTTAATAAGTTTGATAGACTTTCAAAAATATGATCCGTAAAAGAATTTTCAAAATTCGAATTTTTTAGGAGATACAGCTGATTTCGTAAAGTGGCGTCCGAGTCATTATACATAAATCTTTCCTAAACTTTAAACGCGTTTTTCTCGAAAGTTCCTTTATTTTCCCTTATGTTCCTTTAAATTTTAAAAATAAACAAATTTATGAAAATAAAAAACAATATTATGCGAATATGTTTTAAAACATCGAGGTAATATCAACCTACAACTTTTCGGTTAGCCCTCGCTGAAGCATAACGACGTTTAAACCCTTTGAGTTTAAATGGCCAAGAGCGGTTACCATTCAGTAAGTCATTCTTTTGGGTAAATATTTACTTTTCTGTCTTTTGTGAACAATTTTTCTGACTCCCGAGCAATTAAAAAAGCGTATAAAAGCTATTTCCTTGTTTGTATTTGGGTGTGTGCCGGTTTAAAGGAAAAAATGTTTGGAGGAACTTATTGCTCTTAAAAGGGGGTATAAATGCAAACGTGAAGATTGAGGTATTTTTCATAATTTTCGATATGTATAGGTCTTTGTGAAGCGTTTAAAAATGGAGAAAAATCTGTTTATCTTCGCGCTTTACGCTCGGAGCCAGTTTTCATTCCTCGCCCACATGCTCGATCTGAGGCACTTAGAGATCGAATTCAAATTAAAAATTTTCACAGCATATTGTCGAGATGAAAGACTATTTTTTTAAGCAAACAAAAATTGATGTTCAAAGAATTTCGATCTACTTGTATATCCCTAAACTTATCTGGAAACTAAAATTTCACTTGTTACAGGCAACTCCTGTATTTTACACAATTTGAGAGGAAATTTTGTTAGGCTTTAAGTTTAATATCAAGTTGATAACCATTCAAATTGGACAATTTAATGCCGGCGTAAGATTTTTAAGCTGGGGAGTCGCTAATGTTGTTTTGATGGAAAAAAATTGCTTTCCTTTTGTCCAAAGCGGGGAGTTTCTTCTTCAGACGGTCCAATTGTTTATTTATCGAGCTCTCAAAGCGTTTGTGTTATCGATCACAAATTTTTTCTAAGCGGTTTTCTTTAGTACTTAAGCTCAACTTTCTAACGCCACCTACTAAAATTAAATCGGTACAGATCACTAACTTTACTTTACTTTTTACTAGACCTTATATATTAAGAAAGATGGCAACGATATATGGGCCAAAAAATGTAAGCAGAACAAAATGTAGTTATATTAATGGATTGCAAAAACATAAAGCCGCTAGTTTATAAACTCACCCAGAAAAACTTCTTAATATCTTCCAAAAATAAATTTACTTAAAAGGACGGAGAAAAGCAAAAAGTCTAAACCTTATAAAAAAAAGTTACCCACATATGGTTCTTTTTTTCTAAAAATCACAAAAAATATATATAAGTTTTTGTTTTACCCGTTACCCGTAGAGTAAACTATTATTATGCTCTGAGGCGCTTGGCCGCTGCTCTGCCGGCAAAACAATATGCTATGCTCATAAGAAAGGGCCGTGGTGATCACTGATCTAGAGAAACAGAGTGAATGAACTGTGAGCAGGGATTGTAAGCTTGCAGAAAGAATTAAAACTATGGTTTTTTTAATTTCAGAATAAGACTTCAATATTTTTTGTTGTATTCCCAAAACGTCTGAATCTCTGAACCTAAAATGTTGCCTGCTGGAAATGTCTCACTGCTGAATCACCAAACAACCGTTACAGCTACTGATTGAAAATTGTCCCAGCTTTGTTTGTCTTAGCTATTGCTTGAATTCGAGGAAAATGACCAGGAAAAGTAGAAAGACTAACTATTGAATTAAATAACAAGGTATTGATTGTCTAAACTTCTTTAATTGCACATATTTGGTGATTACTTTCAATTTTTGTATAGTGTTGCCTTCTTTATTTTAGTAGGAAGGAGCGACTACCCTGGCTTTTCAGCAATTCAACAGCCTCTGGGTTGCTGCAGTTCTGAAATTTCAGAAAGTTCAATTTGTATGGAACAGCTGATGAGCAGCTGACGAACAGCTTACTGATTCTTAGCAATTCAGAGATTCAGACGTTTCGGTAATACCAAAGATATTTTATTTTATTTTCATATAAACACCATGGTTTGAAGAAGGAAATCTAGACGACCAACTTTCCGAAAATTGCTCACTTTGTGTTATTGTACAGTGCGTTATTAAAATAAATAAAAAAGTTTACCATAAATGAAACGTCCGCTTATTATGGTTTATGTACAAATAACAACTATTTACATATATATGCCATACACTATTACTGTGGACATCCATTCCAATAGGTGACGAACCGCACGGAAAGTGCGTCCCAGTTATAAAAATTGAAAATCTGAAGTACATAAAGTATTCAACTGAAGGAACCGATTGTTCATAAGTTACTTTGAAATCTGTAATTTGAAATTAAAACAACTTGCAAATTTTATTTCAAAACTCTTAAAAAAATTGTTTTTTCTTTTTTGCAGACGAATCACAGCGATTTAAATAAAACGAGATAATAATTTTTGGGTTGTTAATATAGACACGGTAGAAAAGCAGGTGAGAATGTTTCTGAATGGATTATAAGACTCGAAAGTTAAGCTTAGTTCACATAATACACACTGATCTGTTGAGGTCCAGATATATATATCCAAAACATAAGCGGCTGTAACTCAAGGTCTTAACAAGTTTTAATATCTTTAAGGAGTACGATTAAAAGTATTTATAATTCTAAGGTACATTTATCTATTTAAATTTCTTATCATCCATAAACAAGTACTTTTTTTCGGAACGAAGTTGAGTTTTTTGAAATTTTCTGGTTGCAGTGCTTTCGTCTCGCGCTGACATGTTTTATTTATTTATACATCTATTTTTACATACATACAAGCCCAAATATATATAATAGATGCACAGAGCAGCCTTCTGCGATACCACCGATAAAATCCAAATATTTTAAATGGGTCACTAAATTGCTAAGCATTATTTTGTAGGGGACACTTCCATTCAGTACAGTAGATCATAAGAGATGCACACCGAGGATTCCATTTGCTGCACACTGAGGTACTGTGCACTGATGTTAGGTTGTGCCCGTATACCCGACTTCAATTTGGCTCTGGCAGAACCCTCTTCTTAAATCATTATTAAATTAAATTGTATGTACGAATTTCGAACAACCAGCCCCCCTATATTAAGCGTCGCTTATGTTGTCATGTCACTACACAGACGTTCCGATTTGAGGAACAAAGCACCATTTTAGGTGGTTTAGATACTCAGTTTGATGCCAGCAAGTGGCCTGCGAGGGTGCTCTTCTCGTGATTACGCGCAACTCACACGAAATCGGGTCTAGCCTTGAGCTCTAGCGCTCGATCGTCCTAGATCTATTCTCGTCCTTAGTATTCAAAGTACAGTTCCTTCAAAAGCGAACTCTCTCGAAATGTACAGCAACTGCGCAAGCGACGGCGACGGGGGAGGAGAAGGGCGGAAGCACGAATCCATTGAAATGAGCAAAGAATTGGGCCACGTACCAAGTTTACAGCCTAACCCGCCAAAAAGTACGGACGCCCCCAATAAACAGCAGGTAGGTGCAGGACGAGTTAAATAAAAAATATTTTTAAAAATATCTCCTCTTGAGCGGTCAATAATTTTCAAACCCATGCAGATGGTTCTACAATTTTGTCACAAATGTGCAAAGCAATATTCTGCCTGTTTCTACGCAAAATACTCATTCAGTTTCTTAACTACGCAACCCGTTAAAAATTTCCTTTTAGTCGTTCTATCAAATTATGTTAAATCAATATACCCCCCAAATTTCTGAAATGGAATTTTGTAAATAGAGATACTTCTTATTTTCTGAAAGTTGTTTGGTTTCAGAAAATACCGTTCCAAAATAAAATTTTTACCGACCAAATTCGTTTAAAAAACTTGTTAATCTTATAGTATAATAGCAGATAAATCAAAATATTTTTATTTTTTATTCCCAAGACAACAAGCTAATGTGTCCTAACCTTATAATAGCATTACACCCTTAAACTAAGTATCGAATTGGTCCGATTGAGTACAATGTTGATCCATTTACTCCAATTGTTCTGGTACCCAATATACAAATTGTCAAACTGATTTTGATTGCCTTGTTGTATGAACTTACTGGATAGTGCGTTTTCTTGTATTTGCAACCATGGTATACGTCCCCAATTTACAAGAACCTGAATTATTTCATGAGGCGAAGGCACATTTACCTTTAATTGAATCGGCCCGAATCAGCTGTGAAATACCTGGTTGGATAACTGGTCTCCTATCTATATTTCACAATATTTTCTAAGACTTGCTGCTTAAAAACATTTTACTTATTTTAAAAAGCGACGAAGGCAAAAAAATTTAAGTTTAAATGCTGTTACGATCTTTAGTACGTTTTACTCGAAAATATAAACTTAACGTAAAAAAGACACAAAGCATTTTGTAAAATGTGTGTTTGAAGTAAATAAATACTATTGTAGATCGGTCGTTCAAGACATTGAAATTATATCTCGAAGAACTGTGCAAAATTTCATTAAAATCGGTTGAGTAGTTCACGTCTAAATAATCTCCAATTAAGGACAACATTCCAGAGAATATAATAAAATAATGAAATAAAAAGAATTCCATTTTGTGAAACCGTGATACCTATTTAATCAGTTAAAGGTTAAATTTGGGAGATAATATCAAAAAACAATTAACAACATTTTTCTTTAAGAATTCATTGTAACAAAAGGAGCATCGATTCCGTAAGGATATGGATTTCAACATATTAATTTCAAGCGAATTTTCTTGTTAAAACTGACATTTTCCTTAATTGTTACTTCGTTATGACTGACATATGGTTGAATATCAATGCATTTACACCTTTAAAATGTACAAGGCTTTCAAGACAGCCAATGCTAGTACACTAAATTTCGGCTAAATATATGTTTTTTATACTCTTGCTGAATGATTTATAAATTGAGTCAAAACGCAACGCAGTGAAGGAGACATTTCCGACCCTATAAAGTATATACATTCTTGATCAGCTAGGAGAGTCAATTTAGCCATGTCAGTCAATCTATCTGTCTGTCTATCCGTTTCTACGCAAACTAGTCTCTTCATTTTAAAGCTACCTGCATGAAACTTTCCCAAAAGTTGTCTTTCTATTGCAGGTAGTACATAAGTAGGAACGAGCCGGTTCGGACGACTATAGCATATAGCTCCCATAGGAACAATCGAAAAAATAATTTAAAAAAAATTATAACTTTGCTGTTTCTTAATTTGTTTTTTAGTTCTTTGACATATAGTAATGTTTAAATATTTCAGAATTAGGGTTTAAAATTCTTCAAAATCGGACGCATATAGCATAAAGCTCGCATAACAATAAAAACAAAAGAAATAAAACTTTTGAATAAATTTAACTTTTCTATTTTGTAATTTTAAAAAATAATTATTTTCGACATATGAATAATTTGACAGTTCAGAATTACGCTTTTAATTTTATTAAAATCGGAAAACGATATCATATAGCTGCCATAGGAACTATCGAATAATTGAGCTGCAAATCATCATAGCTTCAAGTTAATCATAATTTTAATGTTTTCAAGAGTATACAATTTTTGCAAAAGCTGCAAGGGTATATTTTTGTACATTTTTGAAAACATATACTCAAGTTTCTAATTGTAAAAGACCGATGCTCTACGTGATAATACATAATTGCCAAGATAAATTTTACAGTTTATATTTGCATATGATGCTATGAATATTTTCCTTTTAACGGATTTATGTTATTTTTTTCAGTTGGTGAAAATTGAACAACTCCCAGATCGCGGATCATGGTCTTCGAAAATGGATTTCATTCTGTCAGTAGTGGGACTAGCAATCGGCTTGGGAAACGTTTGGCGATTTCCTTATTTGTGCTACAAAAACGGAGGCGGTGCTTTCATATTACCATATATAATAACGCTGTTTTTAGCTGGAATTCCGATGTTTTTCATGGAGCTAGCTCTTGGACAAATGTTGACCATTGGTGGTCTTGGTGTATTTAAAATAGCCCCCATATTCAAAGGTAAGATTTAAATTAAGCACCAAACAAATAAATGGTTGATGAAATAAGAAACCGGAGACAATTATCTGTTTGCTTCAAGAAGCAAACTTCAAGGAAGTTTGCTTCTTTTTTTCAAATTTTTTTGGAAATTGGCTTGGTTAAATAGTTCAGAATTACTCTTGTAATTTTATTTAAATAAAAAAAAATTTCATATAGCTGCTAGAGGAACGATCGAAAATTTTAAGCTGAAAATCGTCGTAGTTTGTGTTAAAGAATGTTTAAGTTTTGAAACAGTTGCAAGAATATATAAACTTCTGCTTGCCAAAATTTGCTTCCTTTCTGGATTTTTTAATTTTTTTATTTTTTAATAGTTATTATAATATGGGCTTTATTCTACTGTAACGTTTTATTCAACAATTACAACATATCTTTTGGGGGAGAACATGTTATCAGAATAATTTTAAAGTTTATTTGAATTTATTTGAGTCGATATCTCGATCCTTCAGATTAATATCGCATTACACTACCGCAAGGTCAAATGTCCTTCTACTTTAGACTTCTCTGAATAATTTTAAATACGCTCAGTAATAACAGTATTTACCCTACAAATATTATACTGTAATAATTATTTCTTATAGTATTATTTATTAACTTTTTTTCTTCACTTTTTAAGGAATTGGATATGCTGCTGCCGTTATGTCATGTTGGATGAATGTTTACTATATTGTGATTCTGGCTTGGGCGGTATTCTACTTCTTCATGTCCATGAGAGCAGGTATGTAGTAAGTCTATCATGAGCAACCGAAAAATTGATAAAAACTTCGTTGATTTCAAACATTTGCGCGTGTACTTGTTTCAAAATCACTTCTATAGAATGTGACCAAAAATAAGATAGGAAAATAATAAATAATAAATTAGATAAATCGTTGTTTCTCAAAATATACGCATGCCATAGACAACATTACCCAGAAGATTTATTTTTTTATTTATTCGCCAATGGATAAATCCTTACCTGGCTATCAGCTAACTTAACTTAAAAAATAAATATAAATTAATAAATATTCCCTAAGCAATTGCCCAAGACATCCTTCTTGGATCCCCAAACCAATCGAATACTTTGTGGCAAAGAGTTAAAAAGTCTTAAAGCTCTTAGGATTGGCTCATTCCAGTGGCGTAGATAGCTTTTTGATATGGGGGGGGGAATAGTATCCTTTTTTTTTGTAAGATTTATTTTACACTGCGATAATAATTAGCGTTGCACAGTCGTGTACAGAAATCGGTCACATTTTTCACATTGATAAGTTGCATTATAAAACAATTCTCTTATCGAAGAAGAAATTCAAGCTTTCGAGTTTTTTTTGCTAGTTCATCAATGACTTCGTCTGCTGTAATTATATGCAGCTGATGCAGCTGATGCCGTGGCACGCAGTTAACTGAGAGGCACTGTGACTGACTGAGGTATCACTTGGAGGTCGCATTATTGGTCGGTCCGTTAGAAGCGCTGGAGTTATAATATTTTCCACGAACCTTCCTGATGAACAACAAACCGGCAGGCAGACGCCAAAACTGCGGAAATCCTGGGAAACGCAGCGACCGCTGGCAAGCTAAAAGATTCTAGGAAGAATTTGTCGGTTGACAAGAATTCAACAGTATTGAACATAACTCGGGCATTCGAAACTTTAATATGCTGTACTGCACAGTCATCGCGTAAAAATGTGTTTCTTTTTCAATTTTGAGATTATATCCTCTTATAATTCTCTATCTACGCTACTGGCCCATTCCGCGCATAGTTAGTCTAATATAAATGTAAGTTGAGAAGGTTAATCTCAACTTGCTTTTTATTAATATTATGTAAAGCAAATATGAAAAGACACATAATGTTTGACTTTGTCGGCTCTTTCAGCTTTTTTCCTACGGCGTCACTTTTTCTCTCTCCTTCTGCTGAATTCTTCCTTCTAGAACTGCCTATTCTTCCATCATCAAAATAATCCATAACGCGTTCTATACACTTCTGCTGCTGCTTTACTGCTCTACTGCTTTCTGCTTTTCGGCTGATGTACTGCTTATGTTACTTCACAATCTTACATGAATGGACTATGAATATTACCAATTATTACATCGTTGATAAAGAGCAGGTTCGCTATCGAACGCCGATCTACTAGAGTGCAGGTATGCAGTAGGCAGCATTGGCTAGAGTAAATTTTAGGTATTCTTTCTGCAGCCTCTCAATTCTATTGATATGAACAACACCGGAAGGGTTCCAAATAGCTGATAGCCAGATAAGGATTTATCCATTCATTGGCGAATAAATAAATAAATAAATACAGCAAGCATGTTCCACTCTTGAACGCACAAATGCTGAGAACACTGTCAGTCGTGAGTACGGTTCCTTAAAAAGTACAGTGTTTCTTTTGACAAATCCGAACTTTGCATATGTCTTCGGAAGAATATGGTTTATATGGTTAATAAACAAAAATGTACTGTCGAAGAGGACACCAAGATCCATAATCTAATCAGTGATTATTAATAACATATGTAGAAAGAATATTTAAGATACATTTACTGTAGCGAACAACATAACATTTACTTAGGTTGAGAGGCAAATTGTTCTGAATACATTGATAAATAAATTGATTTTGTTCAAGTCCGATTGTAGCAATAACAGTCATTTGAGGAATTCACTGACATGTAAATTTCTCTCCTTCTTTAATATATATTTCAGATGTGCCCTGGAGGACGTGTAACAATTGGTGGAACACAGTCAACTGCGTCAGTCAATATGAAAGACAAAACTTACACTGCTGGGATAAGATGCTTAATGGCACCGCAAAAAAGGTTTGCTCCGTAGCTGCTGTAAACATTACATCTTCCGAACTCACAGATCCAGTCAAAGAATTTTGGGAGTATGTAGATTATCTGTCTACCTGACTATCTTTCTATGTGCGCATCACCTTAGTCAGTTATTCATGAAACTTTTTTTTAAGGCGTCGTGCACTTCAAATATCACATGGCATTGAGGAGATTGGAAACATTCGCTGGGAGTTGGCCGGAACCCTATTACTTGTCTGGATTCTCTGCTACTTTTGTATTTGGAAAGGAGTAAAATGGACAGGGAAAGTGGTCTATTTTACTGCCCTGTTTCCCTATGTTCTTCTGACGGTTCTGCTGGTTCGGGGAATAACTTTGCCCGGAGCATTCGAAGGCATTAAATTTTATATTATTCCCAACTTTTCAAAGTTATCTAATTCCGAGGTATGTTTACAATATTTTAATATATATTTCATTCTATTTTTCCAAAAGGCAAATCTTATGACTTTTGACAAACACTTCGTGATAGGACTCGAACTGAACATTTTTTTTAATTTTAAGATAATTACAATTAAGATAGTTACAAACAGAAGTCACTCTTGCGAAAACCAGTTTAAGCTTAGCTTAGCTTAGCTGAAGGAGATATTTCCGACCCTGTAGAGTATACATATTCTTGATCAACATCTTTAGGGGGTTGATCTAGCCGTCCGTCTGTTCGTTCGTTTCTAAGCTTTAAGCTTAAAGTTACATTCGTTTTAATTTAACCTTTTCTATATGTCGAAGAACCAACAAAGTATTGAAAAACAGCAAAGTTATAATTTTTATTTTTTTTCCAAATGTTAATATGGGAGCTATGTGTTGCACAACGTTTCTTCTTCTTCTTTTAATTATGGCTACAGCTCCGCCAACAGCTCCCTTTCCGTGAGAACTGGCAACAGAATTGTAAATTAATATTTACACATCTGATTTGTTTCGAAATATGGGTCAAACATATTTATTTTTAAATTGTGTGCTGCTGCCATCACAGCGTATTCCCAAAAAATATCTCTGAGTGTCAATTTAACGAGTGTGGTTCATTTTGACATTACACGTGGTATCAGTTTTTTGGGATCAACTGATCCTATATGAGTTTTAAATAGCCATTACGCGGTTTAAAAAATTTAATTTGACTCTAAATAGAATCAATTGGCTGAAATCAGGGTCAATTCGGCACTAACAATCGTTTGTTTCGATTTTAGAAAATGAACGTCTTTTCAGATAGATATTAATTAAATCATTAAAATTAAGTTTAATTGACTTAGCACAAAAGAAACAAAATCCACTTGCAATTTTGAATGCATGTATTTTTTTTGTCTTCAAGAACATTGTTTTGGGGTCATATTGATACTACAATTTATTAAGGAATGTTATTAGGGGCATAAATGATCCTACAAATTCCTCAAGTTAATACCATATTAATACCAAATAATGTCAAATGGACCCTTAAATGAACCCAAGTATAAGGCAATGGATAATGGCATTATTAACACGCAAAATTGCATGTTGATGGTTTGGAAAAAATCAGTCGTTCACAATAGGTGTCAACTTGATGATATTCTTATTAAAAACTTTTTACCACTCAACAGTGTCACATTGAGCCCTAAGTGGGGACATATTGGGTGTATAAATATTATTGAAAAGTGTCCATAATTTATTTTTTTCTAAAAATAAAGAGTTCAAAACACACCAAACAAAAAAGGAACAAAGAAGTTTTTATACCCTTGCAGCTATTGCAAAAATTATATATTCTTGAAACATTTAAATTTCGATTTATATGAGTATATGTTTAAAAACATTGAAGCTGTGATGATGATGATTTTCAGCTCAATTATTCCATCGTTCCTACAGCTATAGGATATTGGTTTCTGATTTAAATAAAATTATAAGCGTAAATTTCAGTCAGATGTTTGCAACGCAGTGAAGAAGACATTTCCGATCCTATACAGTATATATATTCTTGAGCAGCATCACTAGGAGAGTCGATCTAGCCATGTCCGTCTGTTTCTACGCATGCAACTTTCCGAAAAGATGACTTCGTGTTGCAGGTAGTATTTAAGTCGGAGCGATCCGGATCGGATGAGTATGATAGCTGCCACAGTATTTTTTCGTTCTTCGATATACAGTTGTGGTTTATTGTTTTAGAATTAAGTCTAAATTTAAATTTTAACATAACAATAATTTAGAATAACGCTCTTAATTTCATTAAAATCGGAAAACAATGTCAAACAGCTGCTTTAGGAAGGATCGTATGATTAATAGATGATACGATCCATTTCAGAGCACTTTTAGTCGGCGAACAATCAAAGGTTTTTGTTTTGGTTATTGAGCTGATGACTTTAGATGTCTTATCGGTTTAACAAAATGAATCTTAATCTTAGTATGGTAAGATTCCTTTTGCTGGCCTTAAACTGTTAAGTTACAATATAGTTTGTTGTCCTAACTAAGTTATTTTTTTGTTCGTTCTGGCGCATGGTAGTTCTATAAATAAATCGTATATTGTTGACATGCATTTCAGGTCTGGATAGATGCTGTCACGCAGATATTCTTCTCATACGGTCTTGGACTCGGCACTCTAGTTGCCCTCGGAAGCTACAACAAGTTCACCAACAATGTTTACAAGTACGTGGTTAATGCGCAGTCACATCCAATCAAGTGCACCAAATCAATTCATATTTGCAGAGACGCACTCATCGTGTGCACAGTCAACTCCAGCACCAGTATGTTCGCTGGCTTCGTCATATTTTCAGTCATAGGCTTCATGGCCCACGAGCAGCAGCGACCAGTGGCCGAAGTGGCTGCCTCAGGACCTGGCCTGGCCTTCCTGGTGTATCCTTCGGCAGTGCTGCAGCTGCCGGGCTCTCCAATGTGGTCCTGCCTGTTCTTCTTCATGCTCCTGCTGATTGGCTTGGACTCGCAGTTCTGCACGATGGAGGGCTTCATCACTGCGATCATTGACGAGTGGCCCCAGTTGCTGCGGAAGCGCAAGGAAATCTTCATTGCGATCGTATGCGCACTCAGCTACATTGTGGGCTTAACCTGCATTACACAGGTAAGTTTCAAGATTGGGCCATTGCAACGTTGGGTGGACTTCATGGGGTGCGATTGCCTTTTTGCCTTTCAGGGCGGCATGTACATATTCCAAATACTGGATTCGTACGCAGTCAGCGGCTTTTGCCTCCTGTGGCTCATATTCTTCGAGTGCGTCTCGATATCTTGGTGCTACGGAGTTGATCGGTTCTACGATGGAATAAAGGACATGATCGGGTACTACCCAACGGTCTGGTGGAAGTTCTGTTGGTGTGTCACCACCCCTGCTATATGCTTGGTTAGTACCTCCCAAAACCAGGCACTTCTTTTATGATCACTAATTTATCTTCTTTGCAGGGCGTCTTCTTCTTTAACATTGTGCAGTGGACTCCCATCAAATACCTGGACTACAACTACCCTTGGTGGGCGCACGCTTTTGGTTGGTTTACGGCACTGTCGTCCATGCTCTATATTCCCATATATATGTTCTGGTTGTGGAAGCGAACTCCTGGTGACCTCAGTGAGGTATTATGCACTTTTTATGCACTTTAAAATGCTCAATTAAACTATAAACTTACAAACTTGATTCTCTTTAGAAAATCCGAGCTATAGTTCGAATAGACGAAGACGTGCCCCGGTTACGCGAGAAAATGCAGAGAGAAGCTTATGCCAAAGAGGTTGAATTTAATTCCTTATAGACGTATTTAAGTTATTTGATAAAATGTTAGGGGCCTTTTTGTTTACCTATTCATTCAGCTAAATTCGACTTGAAATAGTTTGGTTTACTTGGGAAATCATTTCTAATTTAGACCACTAGTATAGAAACGATTTGTTTGATCTTTGGAATCCACTTTCCTGTCTTCACCTTAATCTTTGCAATAAACCGTTGTAATAATTTTATATTTTTATTAACCCATTCTTTATTACCTGAAAGCTAGTCTAATAATCAAGCACAACAAAATCTAGGGTTTTCAATGGTTATTGGTGTGTTTTATGTGGTACTTACTCAAAAGTAGAACGCTGGATATTTAGAGTGATTGAAATCTTGAATTTCTGAATACTCTGCTTTTGGAGAAGAGTTATCTACATGAGTACAGTGCAGGATTTCAAAACCAATTTAACCAATTCTCCCCTAAGAAAATAATCGATATGTTCTTGGCTTGCCAGTGCCAAGTTCTCATCCATTAGATTAGGTTACTCGATATAATAAATACAAAAGAGGTTTCAATAATTGTTGCAAATGTAAAAATTTAAGCCAAAATGAAATTTGCTCTTTTGTCAGGATCGGGATCAAACTTACCTTTTATCAGTTTGATATATATATTTTTCAAAAACTGGCACAGATTAGAAGGTATTTCGCAATTTAGTAATGTTTAGAAATAAGACATGGGTATCCCACAACGAAATCGCATTCATGTAATATAAGCTTGTCTTTATTTATATATATATTATATATAGAGGTATATAAATATGTATTAATTTATTTCAATGCCCTGATGGTGCTTCGGGCATTGCTCTGTAATTTATCTATAAAATGTCTAAATGTTGCTCAACGTGTCAAATAAATCCAATATCCACTCAACATAACGAAATGCTTATAATTTGTGTTCATCATAGTGTTCATACGCGAAATATTAATACGCTGATCTAAGCTAATTTAATAGTTTGTAATTTTTAGGGGTTATAAAATATCTTAAATATAGTGAACATATGATTCATAGGTAAAGAGTTTGTTTATCTTTTTAAAAACAAATTCTCTTTCATTTTTTTACAAGAAAGGAAGCAAACTTCCTATACCCTTGCATCCATTGTAAAAATGAAAACATTTAAATTTTGATTTATTTATTTGGTAGTTCTGTCTTGTTAATGCTGTTGCTTTAAATTGTTAAAACTCTAAGCGTACATTTTCTTGTAAAGTTCTAATTTATTCATTAAAGAATGGGTTTCTGTGGAATCTTACACTCACTGCAAACTCGATTTAGTTCAGGTCGCTTTTGCTTGTTCATACACCATGAGGCAAAGCGCAGCTCCTCGAACATTTCTATCCAAAAGCAACGGCTCGGTGGTGTATAAATCCATTCGCTTTCAAGAATCACTCCCTGGGTTGCATCGTTATTGACGACTGGTTGAATTGGTCTAGCTTTATGGTGGCACCGAAAATTAAACCAAAACTCGAAAAACGCCACAACCGCGGCCACAAATATGCCAGCCATCAGCACCACAAACACACCACCTGTCAAATTGAAATTTTAAAATAGTATAATAAATATGAACAAAAAGCTAACTTCGAGGACCGAAGACAAGACTATAGCGCTATTATCGGAGTGCTTTCTAGATATTATCGTTACCCCAATTATAGCAAAATTCGATTTGACGTAATGGCAGTTAGATAGGTTAAAGCAAAAAGACAATTTTGGTAATATACGTAGTTTTTTTTATTTCAGACGGGGTTTATTTGAGATATATGTTGCACAGAGTTGCCAGATGTTATCATTATAAGATTGTGTGTGCAATACAATGGAGGAATACGAAATATGATATATGTTGTACAGAGTTGCCAGATGTTATCATTATAAGATTGTGTGCGATGGAGGAATACGAATCAGATGTGAGGTAGTTTATAACAATATTCGACAATATATAACAGCTTATTTCAAATAAACACCATCCAAAACGTTAACAGGCAACATTTACTTTGCATTTAAATATACTAACATCACAGATATTGACTTGAGACTTTTAAATACATAGCGGATATTTTTTGGTTAAAATAGAAAACGGAATACATGCAATTTCTTATTTTGAGTCGTAGGTGGACAAAAGACAATATAGTTTTACAAGAAGGCGATGTAGTTTTGTTGATGGAATCAAGCAATTGGACAAGCAAAACGACAAGCTCAGAAAAAGTCTTAAAAATTGTGACAAAGGCATACAATAAACTTGGAGTACTCCTTAAACAGGTAACTGCCCCAGCCCCAGAGGGTATAAATACTATGTTGACTTATTATTGACGAAATGTCAAGACTATTTTCCAGATTTTATGGCGAAAATGAACGGGTTTAAATTTAAAGTTGCAAATTCTTTTTGAGTTTATCATGCTTATGTACATTATTTTGAATACGTACCTATGCTTTCCAGTCCAAGGGCATTTGCTTTCGATTGCTTGCTTGTGCTCCTTCGGTTGCATGTTTCATCTGTGTTTTTCCACCATTTGTCATACAACATTTGAATATCACCCTTTTCCTGAAGTTCAAGTATAGCCAACGAAATTTTATCCCGCCAAGGAGAACCTTTTGGAGTTGCTATACCATAACCTTAAAAAAGTTTAAAAATACATTCTAAATTTAAAAGATATAATTAGACATGGTATTTAAGGTTTTGTTTTGTTTGTAGCTTAACAAATCTGTAATTATAAAACTAAAATTATTACATAAAATAAATATTTTATAAAACGACCATATTTATACCCGTTACTCGTAGAGTAAAAGGGTATATTGTATTCGTTGGAAAGTATGTAAAAGGTAGAAGGTAGCGTTTGCGACCATATAAAGTATATACATTCTTAATCAGGTTCATCAGCCATGTCCGTCTGTCTGTCCGTCTGTATGAACGTCGAGATCTCGGAAACTAAAGATCTTGAGATTTGGGACTTAACATTCAGATTATGGTAGTTCCTACGCAGCGCGTATTTATTTCAAAACGGTGCCACGCCCACTCTAACGCCCTCAAGTCATGAAAGTATGTGCAATCACTTTGAGACGAGTTAGACAGCAGGTGTGTCTTTCGGTTATATTTATAGGTAGACACCAAAATGTTCAAATTCGAGCTATTGTTTTAGAAGTCCTCTGCCGGAAATCGCTGCAGAACGAAAGAACTTTTAGCGGGGGGTGGGGATGCTGCTCTATCTTAGCTTCCAGTGTTGGCTATACAGTTCGACATAGGGCGCCAATTATTCAATTGCTTTGTAGAAGGATTACTTAGTTTGAATTTTTTTTTTATTCCCTACAAGGTAAGAACCTGCCTTAACGATAACATCTGCTTTATAGGCATACAAATATATAGAATATTCAATTTTTGCTATAGTTGGAACGGTATGTAAACTTCGGCTTCTCGAAGTTAGCTTTCTTATTGTTAAGCAAATGGGCATTAAACTTGACATATTGTTGTTTTAAAGATATTACATATTTGGAATAGCTGCAAGGGTATATAAACTTCGGCCCGATAAAGTTGGCTCAATTCCTAATGCTTAATCTAATTGCCTTTTAATTGGTTTCACCTTGACTTTTTTGATACTCAAATCGAAGTTTTTGAAACTTATAGCCCGGTGAACTGTCCTCTTCACCAGAAAAACGCATTCTCACCTTTCGTGTCCAACAATCCTCCGATTTGCGTCAAGTTGCAGTCTCGCTGCACTATATAATCAAGCATTGTCGATTCCATCAAATAGGCATAATTGCCCTGATTAACGCGCCTTATACCCTCCTCATATGTTGTTGTAAACGCCGTTGGTTTTTTATTGTCCATGCTCCTCCACATTTTTTTGTAAGTTTCTATCATTGAGTCCTAGTAAATGTTGAACGATAAAAAAATGTGATCAAAATGGGTTTAGCTTACCCTAAAAAAGGTCATCGTAGATCCACTTTCCAAAGTGCCGTAAGATATCTCTGTTTGCGATGCCAAATCTTCTGCGTTTTCGATGGGGTTAATCATACGTTCAGTGGTTAAAAAAGCAGCAAGATTAGCCGTGTAAGACGCCACAATAATCAGCGAAAAAAAGCCCCAAATACTGCTTATTATTCGGGTTGATAATGCCCTCGGATAAATGTCGGTTGACTGTTGCATTAGCGTTCCAATGGTAAACCAAAAACTGTCAGTTAGGGTAAACTGGTTGCTTATTGAGATATTATCTAGATCGCATGGGTGAGTGTACTTCCACTCAATAGGTGAAAGTTTCCCCACAATATATATGCAAATTGATACTAGGAAATATGCAATCAGCACATATATCCATATTTCTATAGCCAATGGATTCATAAAAGAAAACAGTCTGGTTGGCTCTGAGGTCGGCACCTTAAATAAAAAGAAACGATGAGCACTTCGATCCAATCAAAATGTATAATAAAAGACGTTTCATACCTTAAATAAAATGCTAATACCCAAATTCATAAATGGTTTAGTGAAATCAATTACACTTTCTCTTGCGTATGTAATAGTCATAGAGCCAACGGCTAAGTCCGCCTTCTAAGTATTTAGATGTGGTTATTGTTAGGAGACAGAAAATTAAGACAGAACGAACATATTTCATCAGCTGAGCGACCATTCCGTTCCATTCTCCAGATTCGGGATCTTTGGCACCATACTTTCTATCGGGTACCAAATCCAATATGTAGTCAAACCCAACCTCGTGGGAAATGGTTTCCAGTATATCAACGCAAAATCCATAAAATCGTTCGTTGCCGGTAAAATTTTTACCGTAATGCATCATTACATATGGAGTTTCCTAGGAATCAACTTTTTAAAGACTTTGAAATTTATGTAATTACTTTCTTTACAGACCAGTATTGTAATGACTACCAGTGTCACATTCATGGAACCAGAATCAAAAAACATTGATGGTTCGGTAATATTTAGATGTCCATGTGGTGTCCATTCACCAACTTTAACAATAGAGTGCTGCTTCAATTTTATTAGGTCCAACTTAAACTGTACTCGCTGACCCTCTTTAAATTGAATAGGACCTGTAAGACCTTTCCATTCAACCTTCAGAAGAAAAATAAAACGTTAAGAAACTATGGATCGACCTTTAAAAACACTTGTATGAGTAAAAATCTGCCAAGTGGAGAACTTGTTCACAACAACAACAAAAAAAGTCCAGTTTAACGGTTTTGAGAAATTTAAAGACTTATAAAAGTTACAAGCGTTCTAAAACATAAAAATTATACACAGAGTACCACTAACAGAGCAGCGACAGAGCATGTTTGTATAGTCTTTGTGTATTTTGTTCACATTCTTTTCAAACATATAAAGTACACGATACTTTGAATGTGTAAAACACGAAGTAAAATCACCACACTTCGTATTATACATGTTTAGCACAGTTGGAATACTGTGTGTATCGAAAACTTTGAGTATAAAACTTTTGTTTTGTACTTTGCGTGTTATTTTACGAACCCTGGTACATATATTCTCGGTCTAGATTGATAGCCGAGTCGATCTAGCCAAGTCCGTCTGTCTGTCTGCAAGAACGTCGAGATCTCGGAAACTATAACTATGCAGAATCTAGTAATTCATTGGCAGCGCAATTTTATTTAAGATCGGAGGCGCGCCAACTCAAACGCCCACAAATGGCAAAAGGCTGTCACGTAAATCTGAGACATATTGCACTCTGTGTGTTTCGGTTATATCTCTCGGTAGACACAACAATTTTTAATATCGCGCAATAATTTTTGAAGTTATTAAGTCCTTTGCCGTCGCTCTGCCGCTGCTCGGCCGCTAATCTGTCGGAAAATGCAGATACAGAGAGACAGTGTAAAAGAACTGTTAGCAGGGGTGTGGGTGCCGCACGCTCTTTGCTTCTAGTTC